TAATGTAAATAATTCAAGTAATCGAATAAATATTTTTCGAATAATTATTTTCGAACAAAGTTCACATAATCCCAGTAATATATAATTAGCCGGAAGACAAATCAAACAGACAATTTTTAAGGTATTTGAGGCGAATGTAAACAAGTCACTTGCCTCAAGATCAATGACGTTGACGGAAACTTAAAGTGCGTTTGGAGTTGTCGGCACTCGCTCGCATCTGATCATCGGGATCGTCATCCTCTCACGTAATTCTCTTTCTCGCCTCTGGTGGCGTTGGTGGAAATGGCTGTGAATGCCAGGCTTACTCCTGAAGAGTCGTGAACACAGAGTCACAGAGGAGTGTGGGTGGTGGACACGGCTGAGCGAGTCGGACTCTCCTGACAGGACGACGCAGAACCTCTTTATGTTAGCAGTTGGACTCGAAGGTTTCGGACGCCATTTCGGATGGTCCTACACCAGGAAAGCCGATTTGCAGCAACAGATTCTCAGGCCTCAGGGTCGACGTTGTTGGCCTGTGTCTAGAGCTGCTTTGGAGGTACAGCTGACCGGATTGTAGACATTAGCATAAACATTGCAAATGGTGGAAAGTTTTATGGCAATGTTATGGTCGGAAGCCGAAGTCAGCAGGAGTCCCAGGGAAGTGTTGGTGATGAACGCGACTGGGCGACTCGGACACTTCCGACATGTTGACGGTTGGACCTCGGATGATTCTACGCCAGGAAAGCCGATTTGCAGTAACGGATTCTCAATCCTCAGAGTCGATGTCGTTGGCCTGGGTCAGGGACGTTTTCAAATGATCCTTGAAGCGTCGTTTTGGAACTATGCGTAGCCACCTACCGCTGGCGAGTTCTTCTAACAGGGCGATACATGCGAGTCGAATGGGACGCATTCTGGACACACGACCCGCCTATTGGAGCTGATGTTAAAGGATGCTAGCTTCGATGCTGGAAAGAGATGTCCGTGAGACGACCTCGTTATTGGTGATGCGGTCCTAGCCAACAAATGCGAAAGGATTCTTTGGGGGCTTCGTTTACTGGAACTGCGTTTGGGGTACAGCTGATCGGATTGTAGACATCAGCATAAACACTGCAAATGACGGAGAGTTTTAGCCGTTATAGATCACAATGTAATGGTCAGAAGCTGTATCATTCTGGAATCCTAGAGGAGTGTTGGTGGTGAACGTGGATGGGCTCGTCGTAGATCCTGTTCATATTGACGGTTGAACTCAAAAGTCTCGTTCCCCTACCTTGGATGGTTCTACGCCAGGAAAATCGATTTGTATCGAACGGATTATCAGAGTTGATATCGTTGGCCTGTTTCAGGGATGTTTTCAACTGATACTTGAACTGTCATTTTGGGCCTCCGCGTAGCCACTTGCTGCTGGCGAATTCTCCAAACAAGGTGATACGTGCAATACGACTGGGAGGTATTCTGGATACATAACCCCCCTTATCGGAGCTGATGTTAAAACATGGTAGCCTCGATACTGGAGAGAGATGTCCATGAGACGACCTCGTTGTGGGTGATGCGCTCCTAGCCAACAGACGCGAAAGGATTCTTCGGTGTTTCGTTTACTGAAACTGTGCAATGTGATGGTCAGAAGCCGAAGCATTTTGGAGACAGCAGAAGTCCCAGAGGAATGTTGGTGGTGAACGCGGCTGGGTTCGTCGTAGATCCAGTTCATGTTAACGATTGGAGTCGAAAGTTTCGTTCCCCTACCTCGGATGGTCCTACGCCAGGGAAGCCGATTTGCAGCAACGGTTTCCCGGGTCTCAGGGTCAACTGACCGAATTGCAGGCATCAATATAAACATTACAAAGTCTCACCTGCTATAAACTGCAATATCATGGCCAGAAGACGAATCAGTCTGGAGACAACATTAAATACTTTTTACGGGAACATTAACAATCTACAGAATGTTGATTACATTGTTGAAAACAGTAGGATTTATAAACATCGTGCAGTCCACTGTCAATTAAATGATCCAGCTGTTTTCGACACAATCGATATAATTTCCCGAAGCTAAATTAGTCATTAAACGTCATTTAATAGTTTAATGGCAACGTAAAACGCCCCTAGCTTACAATCAAATCACTTACTAACAATTACTAATGCGTGTTTAGGCTGTATACAATTACCAGAAGCCCAAACAGTATTGGGCTTAAAATGAAGAAATCTTCATTGTAAAGTTTGTTTAGAGCAATGGATATCGACGTAAAAAGTGGTTTTGTCATGCCGAGTTCAAGTGTGGCTTGCTTCTGCTTTGCACTATTGCCCTTGGAGAAGGAAGTAAATTCGTTTTCTTTCAGCTATGGGTAAAAATGCAGGGTAGATTGTGCTTTCTTGCTTTGAGGTGGCAATAAATCTATGAGAAGGAACTTAAAACCAGCCTTTGAAGAATCAAGCTTCTTCAGGCTTCGTCAGGTTACCTTGTCTCCGGCCCGCCACAACGCCTATGGCGACAGTAATTGGGGAGTAATTAGGTATTAACGGGAGTTTATACGTCGTGTAGACTATAATCAATAAAACTGACAGATTTTTAAAATTATTTCACCACAAGCAAGGCAATAAAACCACTAAGACGCAAGGGGCCTTAATGAGAGAGGACAATAAAAGAACTGGTATTAAAAAGACAGAAGATAACGATTGACATTGCATTTAAATATTTGATGATCAAAGGCAATAAAGCCACTAGGATGCAAGGGGTTACTGAGTGTTAAAGAATATGAGAAAAACTACTATTAATGAGAGAGGACAATAAAAGAACTGGAATTAAGAAGACAGAAGATAACAATTGACAGTGCATTTAAATTTTTGAAGATCAAAGGCAATAAAGCCACTAGGATGCAAGAGGTTACTGAGTGTTAGAGAATATGAGAAAAACTACTATTAATGAGAGAGGACAATAAAAGAACTGGAATTAAGAAGACAGAAGACATCGATTGACATTGCATTTAAATTATTGAAGGTAACAATTCACAGGGAAGTAAGAAACCGGAAGAGAGATCCACAAGCGAGAAGTGCGATAGAAGAAACTGTTAGCATAGAACATACGGTTACATTTAACCATTTCAACGGTAAAATGATGAGGACTTGCCGCCGATCAAGTACTGCGTTTAAATTCATAAAGTCTAGTTACTATAGAGGAAAGATTATTAGAACAATTACCATGATTGTATCGGTTGAAATGAGTTCATCCCTTCATGTTTTAACGACTTTTAACAGTGAGCAATTGAAGCCATGAAAACATGGCGAGAGACCAGTTTTTTTTTATTTTAGGGGTGGCGAACAACTCAACACCACCAACTCAACACCGTCGACTCAACACCGCCGACTCAACACCGCCACTCAATACACCTCCAAGAGAAAGAAATTTCGATAAACATGGACGTATGTGCCCACAATAAGACCTCAGGTAAAAAGAACCGTTTTTTTAAGAAATCCGGTGGTATTAGTATACATATTCGATTTTATAACAACTTTCTTTCTCTACATGTAATTTCTTTTATACCTTTTATGGTAAACTTTCCAATGACGGAAGTGGAAGGTATGTTTTCGATAACTGCATTTCTGAATAAAATATTTCAGTCGCATCGTGATTCCCCACCTGATGAAACATTAAAAAAACCTTTTTTCACGCTGAAACAAGATGTACAGTTTTGTAGTGGGTATGTGCATGTTCTAATGTAACACTGCATAATATATATATATATATATATATATATATATATATATATATATATGGATAATATTAGTGGTCAATATATATATATATATATATATATATATATATAAAGTTGCAAATTAAAAAATAATAATGTTTTATTTTATGAAAGTATTTAATTATTTATATACTTTCATAAAATAAAACATTATTATTTTTTTAATTTGCAACTTTTCTATATATACATATTAAGAAAGTATACGTGGCTTTTCATTATTATGCTATATATATATATATATATATATATATATATATATATATATATATATATATATATATCTCAATAAATTTCCAAGAGGATAGAATCCAGGTAGAATTCAATGTCCAGAACAGAGTAATAAAACTTCTCTCTGTTAAATTTGAATCCCCACCTTCACCGTTAGGCCTTTTCTGTTCTTCTTTCTTCTGTTACACCCTCTCTCTAAAGCTTTCATACATCTCACTTTCAAATTTGTTTCCCACTCCCGCACATACACTCTCACTAAAATTTTGTTTTTTTTATATTTTCCGATTTCTTTTTGAATTTGTAGGTCTGATGAATTGGATCGTGATTACGATTCCAATGTAATAAATTATAACTATGGAATATTAGTGTTTGAACTTTTTTTTATATATATATACATACATACATACATATATATATATATATATATATATATATATATATATATATATATATATATACGTAAAAACTGTTTTTATTTCTTTCCCATAAGCCTCTAGCGGTCTAATTAGGAAAACCTCCACAAAGCGAAATAACACATGGTCTGATGATCGCTTAAGGGTGATGCTCAATCATGATATATGTGAACTTCTACGTCCACACTAAGTTTGTCTATGCTAAAAATATAGTTATTTTATATTTATGAGTAAAATGATTCAATACCTGCGGCCAGTCAGTTAAGTGCCATACATGACACAGCCTTTTGCAATGAAGTATCTTTCGATACATGACTGACGAGGCAGATTTTTCCCCGTGGTGGGCTGATATTTCTTTCTGCAGTAGACTGGTTGTCAGCCAAGGCTACAGAACCCGGTATGCTCTGCTATTGAACCCATAGCTGGGGAGAGATGAAATGGATTCATCCGAATAGATATATATTGAAGGGATATATATATATAGATAGATATAGAGGCTGATAAAGGTAGCGAGGAGTAGATAGATAGATAATGAACAGACTGAGATAGATAACGAAAGAGACAATGACGAACGTATATATATATATATATATATATATATATATATATATATATATATATATATATATATAGTTGGCTATATATATAGTTGGATAGATAGATATAGATAGATATGAACAGAATGGGATAGATATATATGAACAGAATGACATAAATAGATAGATATGAACAGAATGAGATAGATAGATAGATAGATAGATAGATAGATATGAATAGACTGAGATAGATAGATATGTAGATATGAACAGACTGATTTAGATAGATATGAAAATACTAAGATAGATAGATAGATATGAACAGATTGAATTCGATAGATGCATAGATAGATTTGAATAGAAGGAGATAGATAGATAGATAATGAACAGGTTGAGAAAGATAGATAGATAGATAATGAACAGGTTGACATAGATAGATAGATAGATAGATAAATATGAATATACTCTGATCGTTAGTTAGTTATTTAGATAGATAGATAGATATGAACTGACTAAATTACACAGATAAATAGATATGAACAGATTGATACACAGATAAATATGAACATCCCGAGATAGATATATGGATATAAACAGGTTGATAAAGATAGATATGAAATTATTAGATAGATAGATAGATAGATAGATAGATAGATAGATAGATAGATATGAACAGACTGAGTTAGAAAGATAGATATGAACAGACTGAATTCGATAGATAGATAGATAGATAGATAGATATGAACAGAATGAGATAGATAGATAGATAAATATTAATAGACTGAGATAGATAGATATGAACAGACTGGGATAGATAGATAGATAGATAGATAGATAGATAGATAGATAGATAGATAGATAATGAAGAGACTGATTTCGATATTTAGATAGATAGACAGACAGATATGAATAGACTGAGATAGATAGATAGATAGATATAAACAAAATTAGATAGATAAATATGAATAGACTGAGATAGATAGATATGGATAGACTGAGATAGATAGATAGATAGATAGATAGATAGAAAGATAGATCTGAACAGACTGAATTTGATAGATAGATCGATATGGACAGTCTGAGACGGAAAAGATCCTTGAAACAAATGAACGTTTGATAAATCTTGTGGATATTGATGCTGTCTTTGATCCTTGCAATGCTGCATTCTACACGAACAAAACCCCAATAATATTGAATTATTCCCCTGCCTACTTTTAAAGCTTTTGTCACGAAGAAGGTGTTTCATTGAACTGATTAAATGGAAAACCTTAATGTACTCAACCGCTTGACACAGGCAGATATCATCAAATATCCAAACGTAAAAATAATCTCCACAGATTATTTCACACTGGGCATTGTTATTCTAAAGAACGACATCGTTTAGTTTGCTAACATCAGGACCTTTGCGCGTAAATCTTCCAAAACGGCTTAGACGTTTAAGAACCCCTGTTTAATCAAATCACAAAGAAAAACATTGTTCGTTGCGAAGCTTTTAAAGATAAGCAATCAATTCAGCTTTATTAGAATTCTTCAACGACATTCCTTTAGTATAAAACGAAAGAATTAGTTTTCAACTGGGATGTCATCATTACAATAAAGATGTGCCAGCAATAGATTTTCATAGTAAAAAATATTACCAGTAATTCATTTTTGTAAACGAAATTATGAATGCTTCCAAGAAAATTAAATTTCGGCATCAAATGACCCATAAGGTGTTGATATGCCGTTAAACAGACAAAACAAACATGAAATCTGCATTTTATAAGGTTCGATGAGATCTCGTGAGAAGCGCTGGGTTAAGTGCCTTGACAAGAAAGATTATGTTAAAAATAAAAATGTGCTCCGTAAAACATTTTATGTCAGTGATAATGGTAATATTAACCATTTCCTTATAAGGAAACATTCGACATTCACTGACCGAGCAGTTAGGGTTGCTCTCAGTTGAAATTTATTAAATCTTTCTATTAAAACGCTTTTTCAGGAATATACTCCAGTAGCTTTTATAGTTCTTTTCAGTATTGATGGGGGTTTCTTTACTAACTTTTTATTTGAAGTCGTGTGGAATATCAACATCTAGATTATGTCATTATTTTCTCTTTGAGTTACATGTGCTATTCATTTTAGATGTTGCTGTTTTTGGAAGTCCGCAAGGGATGTGGTTTCTGTTATTTGGTACAGTTCTTTGTGATTCTGTAGCACCGGTCCACAATGTTTGAAGAAGGATGGTCCCCACTAAGACCTACAGGATTCATTGACTCAAAGCCATTTTTAACTATTGATCAGAGAAAGCTGTTGTAGCTGAGATTTTAGATATTTCTGATAGGGTTTTGGTGCTATACATGGCATTCATATGCCTTGATTTACTGAGGCTATTTAAGAACATCACTCAACTTTTTAATTTTAGGTTAATGTTTTGATAAAGTTCTTCCAAGGTTTAAGGAAAAATGTCTATATCTTGATGGTCATTATTTTCTTTTTGAGTAATAATTGCTATCCAATGTAGGTGTTGCGGCTCTTGGTTGTCTTCATGGGAAAGATGAACTCTGGCAAGAGAGATTTTCTGGCCTGACACAGTGAACCAACTGTCCTTGAAGTAGATGCAGTTATTTATAAAATCTTTCTATTAAAACAGTTTTTCAGGAAAATAGGTTTTTTCAAATCCAGTAGCTGTTATTGCTCTTTCCAGTAATGATGGGGGTTTCCTTCCTAACCTTTTGTTTGAAGTCGTGTGGAATGTCAACCTCTTGATTATGTCATTATTTTCTCTTCTCAATCCCAGTAGCTGTTATCACTCTTTCCAGTACTGATGGGGATTTCCTTCCTAACCTTTTGTTTGAAGTCGTGTGGAATGTCAACATCTTGATTATGTCATTATTTTCTCTTCTCAATCCCAGTAGCTGTTATCACTCTTTCCAGTAATGATGGGGGTTTCCTTCCTAACCTTTTGTTTGAAGTCGTGTGGAATGTCAACATCTTGATTATGTTATTATTTTCTCTTCTCAAGCCCAGTAGCTGTTATCACTCTTTCCAGTATTGATGGGGATTTCCTTCCTAACCTTTTGTTTGAAGTAGTGTGGAATGTCAACATCTTGATTATGTCATTATTTTCTCTTTGAGTTACATGTGCTATCCATTTTAGTTGTTTCTGTTGTTGGAAGTCCTCAAGTGATGTGGTTTCCGTTATTTGTTACGGTTCTTTGTTATTCTGTAGCACCAGTCTACAATGTTTGAAGAAGGATGATCTTAATCAAGGCCCAAAGGCCACACTCGCTCAAAGCCATTGTATTAAAATAATTTTTCTCAGGTTTCCTAAATATTATCATGTTTTCCAGTATTGATGAGGGTTTCCTTCCTAACCTTTTGTTTGAAGTAGTGTGGAATATCTCTTGATTTTCTCTTTGAGTTACATGTGCTATCCATTTTAGTTGTTGCTTTTGTTGGAAGGATTCATTCACTCAAAGCCACTTTTAACCATTGATCAGAGAAAGCTGTTGTAGCTGAGATTTTAGACATTTCTGAAAGGGTTTTGGTGCTATCCATGGCATTCATATACCTTGGTTTGCTGAGGTTATTTTAGAACATCATTCGACTTTTTAATTTTAGGTTAATGTTTTGATAAAGTTCTTCCAAGGTTTAAGGAAAAATGTCTATATCTTGATGGTCATTATTTTCTTTTTGAGTAACGTGCTATCCATTTTAGTTGTTGCGGCTCTTGGCACTCCTCAATTGATGTAGTTTCTATTATTTGGAAGAGTTCTTTGTGATTATATAGCGCCAATCCACAGGAATTGAAAAAGGGTGTTCTTCGTTAAGACTTAAAGGTTTCACTCCCTCAAAATCATTTTAACTATTGATCTTAGGAAGCGGTTGTCTACGACTGACAATTTAGATATTTCTGAACGGGTTTGGCGTCATGCACGGCATCCATATAGGTGTTTAAATCCAACGCGGTTATCTAAAAACATGATTCGAGTTTTAGGTTAATGTTTTGGTTTCGGGGAAACTTGCGGTGTTGGGAGAAACTACCCCTTGCACAGCCAATTCTATTTTCATTTTCCTTATACCCTATAATAAATGTGCTCAATCAATAAGATATAAAGTCAAAAAAAGACTAACGTTATGGACACACCTCATGAAGGTCAAAGGTATGCCGAACCAAACATTCACTCTGTTGTCTGGAGCTTCAAAATACAACGACTGCACCTCTGCTGAGGGGTAAGACACCCCAAATAAGGCGCCATGGGTAAGATGATAAACTACATCCGACAGCAAGGTCTTTGATCAGGAGGTTTTGAGGAGCGTGGAACCACCTCTTAATTGCTGGTGTTCCCAGGTCCACCCTGACCTGGGGTGGTAGCACCTGTTAGGGTCTCAGCTATGGGCACATAGTTAACCCCAAACTGGAGTCAAAACACTATGAAAGTGTAAAAATAGGTTTTAATACCGGCAATACATTTTTGAAGAAAAATATCAGCAATACATTTTTGAAAAAAAATATTTCCAGTAATAAAAATCTTGTCGGCATTAAATAACTGCCCTGGCCTTGTTAAGGCCAGAAAGAGAGACACAAAGGGAGGAATTGAGTTAAACAAATCGATTAACAAAAACAGTAATACAATCATAGAGTGTTACAGCAAGAATGTTCGGTCCGACTGTCAGAGCTGACTGCTGGAAACCTCTTTCTTCAAAAGGCAGTACCTGCTCCTATTTATATCTGGGAGAGTTCATTCTTGCGTGAGTAAATTACCATAACACTATCTCTCATCCGTGTCTGTTCATTTGTTATATCTATCTGTTGTGGCCTTGTTAGTGGCCAGAAATAAAGACACAAGAGATGAATTGAGTTAAACAAATACATTAACAGAAACAGTAATACAAAGATATACAAACGAGAGTGTTACAGCAAGAATGTTCAGTCTGACTGTCAGAACTGACTGCTGGAAACTTCCCTCTCTCTAAAAAGGCAGTACCAGCTCCTATTTATAGCTAGGAGAGTCCAATAACAATAACACTCTGAGGCTGATATGCCGTAAAACAAACCAAACCAAACCAAACATTGATGGTCAGTGGGTCGATGTTGTAAAGATTAAAGATTAAAGACAACCTTGGAAGTACTTTCACTAGAGATGGTTCTTTGGATTTTAAAAATCAATCTTAGAATCGAAAAAGCCAGCAAAGCTTTCGGTACATTGGAAAGAGATATTAGATAGAGATATCTCACTCGACACAAAGATCGGTTTCTACCAACCGTGTGGTCTGGCTGCTCTCCTATATTTTTTGGAGATGTGGACTATAAACTGCCATCATGTCAAAACCTTTGAAAGATTTAGAGAAAAGTGCCATCGAGTGTCAATCGAGTTGCGGTCTGTGCCACCAGATACAGTTCTTCTGCAATGGTCAAAACACCTAGCTTAGAGAAACTCCTCATTCACAATCAGTGGCACTGGGTGTTGGAATTTTGGGTACCCTGGTGTACTAGTGAGCCAGCCAAAATGAGCCGACTCATTTTATAGTTCACCAATAGAAGGGTTAACCAACCAGAAGGCTTAAAATATTCAATGCGACGTGTATAAAGGCGGCCATGTTTTTTTCTGAATACTCACGGCCAGCCTTTGATATCGAAGACTGAAGAAATACGGAACAGCTGTTGGTGGTATTGGCGATATAGTCAGATTCAGTAGAGTGTCTGACTCCTGAGTGTTAATCTTTAACGTTGTTTCATTGAACAGATTACGTCTTGCGCTGTATTCTATATTCATAGATTATGGTGAACATGGTTAACACTGGGCATCTCAGGAGAATGGAAAAATGAGAGATTGCCTCATCACCTGTTTTATGGAGATCTCGATATTGGTAAGAGCTCCAGGCATAAACCCAAGAAACCCTTAAAGGATGTCGTTAAAGATAACCTGAAAACTTGAAATTAGTGTCAAAGACTAAAAAAAAAAAGAGTGTCTGCTTAGAGAAAGCTAGATTTTGATGGTTGCAATCGCTTTGAGGTCAAAGGATTTAATATTTGATGATGAAAAAAGATCTTAGGTAAACTCAATCACAAGGAGTCTGCACTAGCAAAAGTCCAAGCACAACAACTGCTTGTGCACAAGTTATCGTCATAACAGCAGTTTGAGGTCAGTTAAGTATGAGAAAAAATGTCTTTCCCTAGGATTAATGGCTATGACGTACACACTTGTGCAAATTAATTGAAAGAAAACGAATAATTCCGTTATTATTTACTTCTTTCGTATTTTTCCAACGAAACATGACCCAGTGCCCATGTTAGTACTTGGTATGTCCATTCCATGAAGTCGTTGCTTGCAGATTGACCACAGATTCTCAATTGGATTTAAATCAGGAGAGATTTCAGGCCAGTCCATAGTACTTTGATTTGCTCACTGGTAAGGCTTGCAATTGTATCGTGCAGCATTACGATTTTCGTACGTTTCCTTGGAGTAACGTCCATCGCAGACAATGGCCATAGTATAACTAATCGACAGTCGAGTCAATAGTGTCTGCACGTGATAACAATCTCATGCAATCACGGATGACGCAATATTTTTCAAGGCCAAACAAATTTCATCATACACCCTGGATATAGATTTATATTTCTGCACACCACTGCAACTGACCTAATCTAAGAAAAAAATAGAAATCGACTACACCCTGTCACTCCAGTGGGTCTAAAACCGACCGTATGGTGAAAGAAAGGAAACTAAAGCGGTTGTTTCAATTAATTTGCACATGGGTGCATCTATCTCAGTCTATTCATATCTATCTATCTATCTATCTATCTATCTATCTATCTATCTATCCAACAATCAAAAATAGATTCATATTACTACACACCACTTCAAGATCACATGAATATAAGGCAGTTTAATGCCGTCTACGTGAATGTCTGTTGAGATGTTGAGTGTTTCCGCGTGCGTGTATTGAAATAAGGACAAACACATACGTAGGGAAAAATACTGGTATATCCGAAGAGGTATTTACAACAGGGAGATTAGTAGTCAAACGAACGCAGGTTAGTCAGTAACAATCAGAAAGAGTATAAAGTCCAACTGTATCTTCCGGTAGACAGACGGAAGTGTGATGGTCACCTGATCTTCCCAGAACTCTATAGAACTGTCCTATTAGTAGTAGAGAGATCAGTCCATTCTGGTGAGAAGGTGGGTGCGCCCCAACAATATCTTTCCTAACAGACCTGCAGAGTATTTATGTCACTTTGGGGATAAAATTTGCTGGTTTGCCGCCGGTCTGAAGTGGCACATGAGAGCGCCTGAGGAGAAAGACGACATACTCCACTCATAATTCGTAGATCATCATCGCATTACCATATGAACTTCCCGGTTTATTTCCCCAAGTTTGGTGTAGTATAGTCGTTTAGCGTTCTGCTAGTCAAATAAGAACTTGCCCGGTCGGCGGACCGTGGAATCTGCCAACTGCTGCCTTGCAGAAAGTTAAGATGCATTCCCAATAAATACTTGTGGATTCGAGTAAACTCGACCAATATTAACCCATAGACTGTTGCAAAATCCCGACCAATTCTTCCCTATAGACTGACGTATAAACTCGAAAAATCTTTGTTTATAGACTCAGGTATAAACAAGATCAATCATTGTTTATAAACTCACGTTTGACCAATGTTTGTTTATAGGCTCACGTATAAATAAGATCAGATTTGTTTATATACAAGTATAAACAACACCAATACTCAATTATAAAATTGACCAATGTTTGTTTATAACATCACGTATAAGCAAAACCAATGTTTCTTTATAGACTTAAGTATAAACAACACCATTGTATGCCTACAGACTCAATTATAAAATTGACCAATGTTTGTTTATAGCTTAACGTATAAGCAAAACCAATGTTTATTTATAGACTTAAGTATAAACAACACCATTGTATGCCTACAGACTCAATTATAAACTTAACCTGTTTGTGTTTAGCCTCACGTACAAACAAAACCAATGTCTGTTTATAGACTTAAGTATAAACAACACTATTTTATGTCTACAGGCTCAATTATAAAATTGACCAATGTTTGTTTATAGCCTCACGTATAAGCGAAACCAATGTTTGTTTATAGACTTAAGTATAAACACCAATGTATGCCTAAAGTCTCAATTAATATCTACACCAGTATTTGTGTATAGACTCACATATAAAAAAGACCAATGTTTCATTATTGACTTAAGTATAAACAACACCAATATATGTCTACAGGCACAGTTATAAACTTGACCAATGTTTGTCTATAGCCTCACGTATATAAAAGACTAATGTTTGTCTATAGCCTCACTTATATAAAAGACCAATGTTTGTCTATAGCCTCACGTATATAAAAGACTAATGTTTGTCTATAGCCTCACTTATATAAAAGACCAATGTTTGTCTATAGCCTCACTTATATAAAAGACCAATGTTTGTCTATAGCCTCACGTATACAAAAGACCAATGTTTGTTTATAGCCTCACGTATACAAAAGACCAATGTTTGTTTATAGCCTAACGTATATAAAAGACCAATGTTTGTTTATAGCCTCACGTATATAAAAGACCAATGTTTGTCTATAGCCTCACTTATATAAAAGACCAATGTTTGTCTATAGCCTCACGTATACAAAAGACCAATGTTTGTCTATAGCCTCACGTATGTAAAAGACCAATGTTTGTCTATAAACTCAAGTATAGGCGTAGGACGAGGTATGATGCGCAGGAACGATAACGATTTATCTCAGACTTGAATTAATATTTTTGAGGTTCATTACATTCCCTTACCCTCAAAAGCTATGGGTTGAATAGCAGGCCATACGCAATTGTATGGCTTCAACTAAATAGATTTTGAACGTAACTGTATGCCTTGAACTACAAATAAAATGTATTGTTGGTAAATATTTTATATAAAAATGTATTGCTGGCATTTTTACTATTACAATGTATTTTTATACTTTCATAGTGTTTTATTTGTTACTGATTCACTATTTGTCCCTAGCTGTGACTCTAACACGTGCTACCACCCCGGATCAGGGCGGACATGCAAACAACAGCAACTAAGAGGTGGTTTCACCCTCCTCAAAACCTTCAATCTTCCAATCAGAGACCTTGCTGCCGGATGTAGTTTATTGTCATACCCAGGACTAAGAAGCAGTTGCTTGTATTATTAAAGTGAGTATAAACCGGCATATGAGAGATACTTTAAACTAGGCTATCTTATACCCCTATTTATGAAGTAGACCACTCCAATCATACTCCGGGGGTTAATCTGGAAGAGGAGAAATTATATCCGGCAAATGAAAACCCGGATATAATTTCATGGAATATTAATGATGCTTGAAACGACGCATGTAAAGTCGGAGAATAATTCATGGAAGAATGATAACATGTTAGACAAGCTTAGGATGGTTGGAGAATACAGCGGTCGGAACATGCTTATCGCATGTTGAAAGGTGAGCATATTTGAACGATGAATTTTCGGATTAATGATAATGTCTCACACAACGTTTGCGAGGCCGGGGAATAATTCGTTAAATAATGATAGATGTGAGTTTCAGAACATTTAATAACATTTGTATATTTTGTTCAAGGAACTCTGGACCCATTTGATAATGAAATAAAATGCAGTGGAACGAATTTGGAGACACGTTGGAATTTAGAAAAAATACGATTAATCATGGCTCCATTTGTTCAATGCGGCCGGTGGGTAAAGTGTAGGATTGAAAAGAAAATTAATATACAGTGATAATGTCGCCCTGTATGTAACTATTGGCATGGGATGTCGGGACAGAATTTAATCTATGTATTTATGGCAGGTTTAGATAAGGACAAACTCGATAAAAAGACAGACTGACAGACAGAGAGGAAGATAGATAGCTAGACTGATAGATATGAATAGACTGAGATTAGATAGATAGACAGATATGAACAGACTGAGATTAGATAGATATATAGATATGAACAGACTGAGATTAGATAGATAGATAGATAGATAGATAGATAGATAGATAGATAGATAGATAGATAGATAGATATTAACAGACTGAGATTAGATAGATAGATAGATATTAACAGACTGAGACAAGATAGATAGATAGATAGATAGATAGATAGATAGATAGATAGATAGAAACAGACGGAAATAGATGGATATGAACAGACTGGGATAGACAAATCTGAACAACATTAGATAGAAAGATATTGAGAAAGATGGAAATAGATAATAGATTGATATATGTATATATATATATATATATGTAGAGAGAGAGAGAGAGAGAGAGACAGAGACAGAGAGAACAGACTGATATTAGATAGATAGATAGATATGAACCGACTGAGACAAGATAGATAAATAGATAGATAGATATGAACAGACTGAGACAAGATAGATAGATAGATAGATAGATAGATAGATAGATATGAACCGACTGAGACAAGATAGATAAATAGATAGATAGATATGAACAGACTGAGACAAGATAGTTAGATAGATAGATAGATATGAACCGACTGAGACAAGATAGATAAACAGACTGAGATTAGATAGATAGATAGATAGATAGATATTAACAGACAGAGATTAGATAGATAGATAGATAGATAGATAGATAGATAGATAGATATGAACCGACTGAGATAGATAGATAGATAGATATGAACCGACTGAGACAAGACAGAAAAATAGATAGATAGATATTAACAGACTGAGACAAGATAGATAGATAGATAGATATTAACAGACTGAGACAAGATAGATAGATAGATAGATAGATATTAACAGACTGAGATTAGATAGATAGATAGATAGATGGATAGATATTAACAGACAGAGATAGATAGATAGATAGATAGATAGATAGATATGAACAGACTGAGATTAGATAGATAGATAGATAGATAGATATGAACCGACTGAGACAAGATAGATAAATAGATAGATAGATATGAACAAGACTGAGACAAGATAGATAGATAGATAGATAGATAGATAGATATTTACAGACTGAGATTAGATAGATAGATAGATAGATAGATAGATATTAATAGACAGAGATTAGATAGATAGATAGATAGATAGATAGATAGATAGATAGAAACAGACGGAAATAGATGGATATGAACAGACTGGGATAGACAGATCTGAACAAAATTAGATAGAAAGATATAGAGAAAGATGGAAATAGATAACAGATTGATATATATATATATATATATATAGAGAGAGAGAGACAGAGACAGGGTGAAGAATAGATATGAATAGACTGAGATCTATCCATAGGTAGAAACAAACTGTGATAGAATTGAACAGACTGAAATGGATAGACATGAAGAAACTTTAAATAGATGGATAGACAAATGTTTTTTTTTATTACATCACCCCAAGCAAGGCGGGAATGTCACTAGTACGTAGGAGGTTTCAGGGATGGAGTGAAAGTGAGTGACAAAACTGGTTATAGGGTGGTTGAAGATAAGAGATGAACGGGTTTCAAGACTACAGATGATGGCGATTGACGTTGCATTTAAATTTTTGAAGATTGTAGTTATGAAGGAAGCAAGTGTGAGGAAAGGAGTTCCACAGGCGGAAAGTGCGAGAAAGAGAAACTTTTGGGGAAGAAGTAACGGTTGCATTTAGCTATTTCAGAAATAAACGGGTGGGACCTAGATGCCAATCTAGTAGCACGCTTAAATTCATGCAGTCGGGGCACCAGTGAATAAGCTCGTCAGAGCACCAGTCATGAAAATATCTATAGAAAAGACAGAGGGAAGCCGCTTCACGTCGGTGAGAAAGTGACTGAAGTCGAGATGCCCGGTCAGGATCGATTACATTGCAGATCCTTCTTTGGATTTTGTCAGGAACCTCGAGATGAATAACAGGAGAACCAGACCAGATATGGCAACAGTATTCAATGCATAGGCGTGTGGTAGAGTTGTAAATGTGCAAAATTGACTCTGATGAGAAAAACCTTCTGGCACGACACAGTGATCCAACTTTCCTTGCAGTAGATGCAGCTATTGATTCAATGTAGTTGTTCCACTTCAAGTCAGTTGAAAATGTGAGGCCAAGAAGGCGTAGTGATGGCGTGTGGGGAAGTTTCTCTATGGTGGTTGCATGAGAGCAGTTTAGTTTTGAAGGCATTAGAATTTAGAAGCCATTTTCTGCCCCAGTTAACCACTGATTGGAGGCCCTTTTGAAGAGCAGCGGTCAGATTAACTGTCAGCTCTGACCAATTTGGTATTGAGATAGGAGTAATTGGTAGTGTCAGCTGCATAAATTCCTACTTGGAAACTGATGACATCAGGTAGATCATTGATGAAGATCAGAAACAGCGTGGGACCCAGGACAGAGTCCTGGGGTACAACCGCGCAGGCGTAAAAGGATCTGGAAGCGACCCCCTTCAAAACGAACTTTATTTCACGATTTGATCGGAATGATTGGATTGAATCAAAACAAAGGTCCTGTAATACTGTAGCCCTGAAGCTTACATAGAAGACCTGCGTGCCAAATCCTGTCACACGCCTTTGAGATATCGAGAGCCACAGCTAGATCTTAGCCATCATTAGGAGCTTGATATACATATTCAGTGATGACCGTAAGCATGTCAGCGGTAGTCGGGGCAAAATGGAGTCTATATTGTTTGTCGGAGAGTAGGTCGTAAGAGATAAGATGCTTAATCCCTTCAGCATTGATTAAAGCCTCGAAGAATTTGCCGAAAGGCAGTTGGAAACTAATGGCGTGATAGAGGGGCTAGAATATTCTCAAGAGTTCTTAAAAAACAGGAGTTGCATAGGATGACTTCCAACACGCAGGACAGCAGGAAACAGCGAGGTAATAGTTGTAGATTTTGGAGGGAACTGGAGCCAGCTCGAGAGCACATTTCTTTAGGGCTTCTATTGGGATCCCGTCATCTCCACTTGTCCTATGGGATTTAGAAATGATGCCTGAAATCAGTGACGGGGTTATGCACATTAGAGCTCAGTAGAGCCTTAGCTTTAGGAGGAAAAACAGGTATGGGTACTCCAGTGTTGAGTTGGAAGAGAATTTCCGAGCAAAGCATTCAACCTTATCTGCTGTAGATGTTAGAACTTCGAAATGATATAACAGACGAATGATTCAGGATTTGCTATTGTTCAGCACACTCTTACAGAGCTGCCAATCATACAGTGACTTCGTTTCATTGAGGACACGCTTGCACTCGATACGAGCAGAGACAAAGAGACATCTGACTGCATTAGGTCAAGCCGGAAGTAGTGATTTCTGTGGGTTATAGCAGCCAAGCATGTAGGTGAGAATCAAGGAGATAAACGCAGTTTAACTTGGTATTTCCTTGCTGGAATGAAAGCATCGATGGCTGCTTTCACCCAGGAGACCTCAGTGCGTTATTTAATGCTGACAAGTTTTTTATTTCTGGTAATATTTTCTTTTTTATTTAAATATTTATTGCTGATACTAATTTAAAAAAAAAAAAAAGTATTTCTGGTATTAAAATCTATTTTTACACTTTCATAGTGTTTTGAGTCAGGTTGTGGGGTCAACTATTTGCCCATAGCTGGGACCCTAACAGGTGCTACCACCCCAGGTCAGGGTGGACCTGAGAACACCAGCAATTAAGAGGTGGTTCAACACTCCTCAAAACCTCCTGATCAGAGGCCTTGCTGTTGGATGTAGTTTATCATCTTACCCTGGACGCGGATGCAGTTTATCGTCATACTCAGGACGCAGGAATAGAATTTATGAGCAAATCATTCAAGTATATTTGCTGTAGATGTTATGACTTTGAATTGATTGAATAGAGGAGAGATTGAGGATTTGTCGTTGTTCTGCACACTCTTGCAGAGTGTTATGTGGGAACACACCTATTCTATAGTTAATATACTCTCCCACCTATAATAAGTAGGAGTAGTAAGGGTCTGTGAGTCAGGCAGTCAGTCAGTCGATGTCGGACGACAGTTAGACGAATACGAAAGTATCAGCGACCACAACTAGATTACTCTGCGTCGTACCTATTATATCAAGTGCCTAAAGTTTTGTACGTCGAACCTATTTTAAGACCGATTTAGTACAAATACAAGCCTCCACTGCGAAATCACTCCACAACACAAAGCCACCAATGATCTCTAGAACTGAACTTGCTAGATGCTATGTTTCATTCTATCAGCGAAGAGTAACTTTGCTTCATTGAGGCCACGTTTGCACTCATCATGTGCAGAGACAAAGAGATGTCTGTTGCAATCAGATGTGTCACTCTGGTACAGCTGGAAAATGTGATTCTTGTGGGCCATATGCGGGCAAACATGCATGTGAGAACCAAGGAAATGAACTTGGTATTTCCTTGCTGGAATGAAAGCATTGATACCGGCTTTCACTCAGGAGACCTCGGAGGCGCATTTTTGAACAGGATGAGTAAAAGAATTATTCAAATGGACATCACGAAAAAAAAACAAAAAAAAACAACAAAAAACAAAAAACACAGAACGAGTCCCAATCTGCTCGTTGATAAGAGAAAGATATTCTGTTGATCGGGAGTTCTTAGCAGGTCTTAGCTGAAAAAGATGATGACAGGTACTACCGCATGATCAGAGTTGCCAAGAGGACAGAGCTGCAACGTTCGATATGAATCCGGGATAGAGTTAAAAAAAAAAAGATCTAGACGAGAAGCGTGTCCATCAGAGTTAATGGGGAAACGGGGGTGGGTGGGGGTCAACCACTTGCGTGATAAATTGAGTATAGATTTGGCCCTTCCAGCATATCTTTCTTCACTTTCGTCCAGTCGCGAATTAATTGATGAGATACTCGGTCGAACGTCTCAGTGTTTCTCGTATAGATTTTTCGAACAAGCCCAAGAATTACATTCTCTCCCACTAGACACATCAAAACAAAAAAGTTGGTATAAAATAAAATGCGAGGCCAATTTTACTAATTTGAAGCTCTCTCTGGATCAGTATCGCCTCGCCTCGCCTGTCTACTATCTGCTTCACAACCGAGTAGTGGTGTCTGGCTCAACGCAGTGCCCTCTTCATCTACCGGTACACTTCTAGATGATAAGTGCACTCGAGTCGGAATCGCGATTCGTCTTGGACTCAAATTATGTAAGCGTCACAGATGCAGATGTGGAGCCTCCATCGATGAGTTTGGTTTGCATTCTCTCTCCTGTCATCGTAGTACCGGCCGCTTTCCACAGCATGCTGCCATTAACGACATCATCAGAAGAGGTTTGGATGCAGCTGGGTTCCCTTCCCAAATCGAACCCGTAGGCCTCGACCGCAGTGATGGAAAGCGGACGGATGGCATTACCATTTTCCCTTTTAAAATGGGGAAGTCATTGATTTGGGATGCGACCTGTGTGGATACATTTTCGGCCGGTAATTTCATCAGGTCCGCGGTTGAGCCGGGGTCCATCGCCCGCAGAGATGAAAAAATATATTCTTCTCTTGCTGATAGATTTTTTTTTTACTCCTGTGGCAGTGGAGACTTCAGGGGTTATTGGCCCTCGTTCGATGGCGTTCCTTCGGAGGATTGGCGCGATTGCATCTCGATTAAGGGACGAGCCTCGTGAAACGGAGTGGCTCTTGCAGCGTGTCTCACTGGCCATGGTTCGAGGCAATGTTTTCTCCATCATTGCGGCTGGTAGAGGATAGAAAAAAATATTCATAGTTACTTTGTTCAAAATTTTTTCAGTAAATAAATGTCTCTACTTTAAAAAAAAAACAGTTTGGATGCCAGCGAGGTCAATGGCATAGTGTTTAACTCACCTGGTATGATAGGTATTAAAGTCACTGAACATGAATGTATTTGCAAACGGATGTCGGGCGATAACGTTGTCTACGTTATCGGAAATACTATCCAGCATGTAACAGTCAGTAAAGAAAGACTGAGTTAAGTAGAGAGAAACGGAGACACATGTAAGAATGGCCAGAAGATTCAAGCGAAAGTTCCTTAGTCAGCGGGAGAAATTATAGCCCTTCCTAAATAGAGAAAGATAACCAGGAATCGAGAAATCAAAGGAGGGAATTGAAGAGTTAAGATTAGTTTCACAGAGAGCTAGGATGCCAGGAGACTTTTTGAAGAGGAACGATTCCATACTGCAGAATGCCACGAATGGTTAAAAGGGTTTAAGTGTTTTTTGTGGAGCAGGTTTAGGTTTATATCTTTGTTTATAGTCATGATGTGTTATTCTGTTAAAGAAAGGCCTAGGTTAGTAGTAGCAGTCGGTCGTCTAATGTAACATGTACATGAAGGGAACTGGCGCAGACTGCAACATAGAGTGGCCTTGATGTTGCCAACCGGAGCTGCTTGCAGGAACACGCTACCATGCGCGACTCGGCAGT